GGGGGGGGGTGGTGGTGGTGGTGCTGCTGGTGCTGGTGCTGGTGCTGGTGCTGGTGCTGGTGCTGGTGCTGGTGCTGGTGCTGGTGCTGGTGCTGGTGCTGCCGCTTATTCTTCAACCACCTACATTTCCAAATTCAGAGCTTCAGGGTGGATTTCCCTCTGGAGAAGCTCAACAAGCAGCTGGATTTTGTGGTCGAGATTCTTTCAGCGTTAGACCTTTCAGGTGGGCATGGGAACAGACGGGACTTTTCAAACGTGTCGCCATAGAATCCTGATGGGCGACCCCTCACAATCCCGCTACAATATTCATATTTGCTAAAGTCTAAACTCCTTAAAGGGGGTTATATAGGGGATTATATAGGGGACTACTATAGGGGTTATTAAGGGGGATACTAGGAGTTTAGACTATGGCTCATAATTGCTTAGGATCCTAGGGTCCCAAATCGTTCCCCATTTTCAGAAATCCCCAAATAAGCTCAACATGTTGAACTCCTGGTTCCACATAGTATACACGAGCTACTGTCAATATTAAGGATGCCAAGAGCCCATTAAGGGTGGACACCGGGTCACTTTGGTTGTTTAGTATAGCCACGAACACTGTTCCATTAGGAAGGCTTGCGCATTAATTCTCTGAGAGATACTGACTGTAGCCCTACACCTTAAAACCCAAACCCCAAAACCCTAGAACCTAAGCCTCAAATCCTAAACCCCAAACAGGGATGAAGCCAGGAAATTAATGATCTAAGTGCTCTCGATGAAGGTTTGGGCTAAACACGAAACCCTGCACTTGAGTGTGAAGGTTGAAGGGTGCTGCAGCCAAGGCTACTATGTGGGGGGCTACATAATTACCATAATCTGGATCAATGTTAGGGATCCTTTATACTTTTTAGGGTACGGGATTCCTTATATTTATGTAAAAACTATCCTTTTTTTCTCCCTAGGGTAATGTGGGCTAAGTAATAATGAAGAATCAATAAAAATCGAAAACACCATGGAGACTACGTTTATACAGGGCTTAACATGATATATAGGGTGACCTGCATGGCCAGGCTCTAGGTTTAGGGTCTAGGGATTTGACGCAGGCTGCAACGTTGGTCTGCCCAGTCACGAGAAGCTGTAGCTTCCTAAGCAAGTCTTATCTGGCAGTGTTCGAAGGGCGGGGACCTGACCTTTGGGGAGTCCCTACAATAAAGAATTTGGTGTACTGGGGTTTGTATTGAGGTCCCCTAGTTATGGAAAACCTATCTAGACTGTTATGCTTCAGCAGTAGAGGCCGATGGTCAAAGATACACTAACAGCGCGTTCCCATGTGGTAATTTTCCAAAACTGGGGACCCAATAAAGATCCCGATATACTATAGTCTCTACTCTTGGGACACCCGATAAAGGTACCCCTAATTCTTGGGAAACCCTAAACCCCATGTACCCCAATCTATCCATTTCCTTTTACCCCTATTCATCCCACGTAATCCTGTTAAAGGTGCCCCTAGTTTAGGGAAACCCGCATGCCTTCCACACCCAGACCCCCTAAAGGATCCAAAAAATGGAACGCAATCTCCTAGTTACCCCAATGTAATATTGGGTTCATATTGGGGGGGTTCCATTTTTTGGATCCTTTAGGGGGTCTGGGCAGGAAGAAATGACGACGTGGTGAAGGGCCGGCAGGTCACCAGCGGCTGGGTCGCAATTGAGTACAGTTCGGGTTCCCAAAATGATGGGTACCTTTTGGGGGTCCCCAGAATAAGATGTTGGGTCTATGTTGGGGTCACCCTATTTTGGGAAACTACAGAATTGAAATTCCACCCTAAGCTACAAATCAGGGTCTGCAAGACTTCAAAGGGTGGATCCAAACCCAGTAATATATCACTATAAGGGAGAATGGTGATTACATTAGGGTCCTCATATTCCTGTTATGTCACGTTTACAGGGTGGGGGGGTCTACCTAAGGAATATGAGAACTGGTATGTATAGTCCCCCTTAAGTAGATAGAATATGGCTTTAGGGTATATTATAATAAGACCCTCATATACCCCAAATTCTATCTACTTAAGGGGGACTGTATGTTGAAATCTGATCTGCCCGTGACCAGATTGGATCTCCACGGTTGTCATCGGATCACAAGACCATTCCGCCTGGATGAAAGTTGTCGCGACCTCAGTGAGAAGCTCACGTATTGGGGGGTCAGTAGGGAATAAGAGAATATATTCTATATGGAGTATATACGGAATTTATTGGGTCAGTAGGGAATAAGAGAATGCATTCTATATGGAGTATATACGGATTTTATTCCCCTATTCTCTACTAACCACCAGTAAGATTCATGGAGGGCGCCCTCGAACAGCAGGGTCACCTGCAGTGGTCCATAGCAGAGGGGGGGGATTCGAAGTTCGGATTTCCTTTGGGGCATGTGGACAGCTTGGAGGATTCCATGGTAACCCATCCAGCTGAGAACTTACTGAGGGTCTTCTGAAATTGTACCATCATCATTTCCACAGCTGTTTCCATGATACCTACTCACAATAGAGCCCTCTAAGGCCCTATAAGCTTGCGGTTCTCGTCATGACCAAGGTCTCAAGTACTTAATCAACTATTCCCTGAACCCTGAACTAGGTCGAGAATGATGTAGTCCTCATTTTGACAAACACTCACATTGGACTTCCAGGGGAGCCGTTAACAGCACTAGAGCCCCAATACTTCAGGTTCTTTGAGAAGCCCTATAACCCCTATATATAATCCCTATATTCCCCATAGTTTCCATTTTTCCATTATCCCTATATAACCCATATATGACCCTAAGCCTTCCTTCCTCCTAGGGCTGTGAATTTGGACAGAATCCTAGTATCCCCCTTCATAGCCCCTATAGTAGTCCCCCCATATAATCCCCTCTATTAACCCCCTTTTGAAAAGTCTATCTTCATCCTAAGATTCCCTAAGATTCCCTAAGCCCTAGTCCTAAGGCCGTGAATTTGAACGGTGACTTCTCGAAAGTCGTCATTGGCAAGCAAGCCGCAGAGTTCGCCGCCTCGGCGAAGGCTGCAGGGTATTTTGGGCGTGTATAGGGGATATATAGAGAAAAGAAAATGGAAACTATTATTTAGGGCCTAGAGTTTAAGGGGTAGGGTTTGAGGTTGAGATTTAGGGTTTGGAGCTAAGTTTAGGATTTGGGGTTGTGCTTCAGGGCTCAGATTTAGGCTTCAGGTTTATAGTCCTCCTTCAGTAGATAGAATCTGGCTTTGGGTATTATTGTAATAAGATCCCCATATACCCCACCCATATTCTGTCTACTTAAGAGGCCTTGAAGCCTAAACCTACATAACCCATTAGAGTAATTTCCATTGTCTTTTCCATTATCCCGAAACCCATATTCTATCTACTTAAGGTGGACTACGTATTTCAGAGCTCAGGGCCAGAACGATGGTCACTCATTCAGCCGTCGGGTATGACATTACAGGTCCGACCTCCCCTTAAACCCTAAACCCTAAACCCTAGACAACCCATTATAGTGGTTTCCATTTGCTTTTCCAATATAACCCCTATATAATCCTAAGATTTCACCTCACAACCCCTGTGTTGAATGCACTTTCTGCTGTGGACAGGACGTCTATTCTGGGGTTGGCGGCTCAGTTCCCCATACCCGCAGCGGGAGCGCATGAAGAATGAGGGTTGAGGTTTAGGGTTTAGGGCTGAATGAGCTGTCTGCACCAGAGTATAGTCGAGCTCATGCTTTATTTGCTTGGATGGTCAGGGAGACTTAGTAAGGAGGTTAATGAGGGAATAACGATGGTTACTATACGGTTGATAGGCCTTATTAACCTACTTAGTCGCCCCGACCCCAGGTGCTGCTCTTTCATTAGCCTCTGCGGCCTAGTGTTTCGGAGCTGCGCGAAGCCTACGCGCTGCTTCAATACTGAATTGACGGGGCACTGTCCGACAACCTTACATCCCTAAACTCAAAACCTTACAATGTAGTTTCCATCAATGGGGGAGCCCAATATACCTCCTAATTTTGGGAAGACCCCACAAAGGTCCTAATCTCAACAGCTGGACTGGCTTCACCCCTGCGCGCAGGGAGGTTTTTGCTTGCCCTGCATTTCGCCAAGAGGTGCTAAGATACCTAGTTCCAGTTTAAAGGATTAAGGATTTTGTGATCCTGGGACCCCTGCATGTTTAGGGTTTGGGGTTTAGGGTTTAGGGGATGACACTACAGGGTACTTCAAACAGCCTTCAAAGCTAGTGATATTGGTAATGTAGAGCCCACACCCCAATCTGCGACCAATTTGGTCTCGAGGAATGTGTCCAGCCGACGGACATCACCGGCTATCATGTGGCCAGGATGCAAATTTCAGGCCGAGGGCCACTCTCAAAAAAATTAGCTACATAATCCTTATGCAGGGGACCCTAAACCCTCAACCCTAAACCCTAAGCCCTGAACCCTAGACCCCATACCCCACTTAAGATAGCGGGGTTCCCTGTGGTGCCCCAACTTGTCTGTGCAAGTAATACTGACGTCACCAGCCCTCATCCTGAAGGGTATATTAATAGGGTTCAGGGCTTAGAGTTTAGGGTTTAGGGGTTGAACGTTTAGGGAGGGTGTAGGATGGTTAAAGGCTGATTTGAGGTTCTGAAAGTAGTACAAATAGCCTTAGGTCAATCCCCTCTACAGTAATAGCTGCTTAACATGGAGTTGATACCTACAATAGTCCTTTGTGGTACCCTTTACTGGGTGGAGGAATGACCCAATATCAACACCTGAATCCTAAACCCCAAGCCTTAAGCCCAAAACCACCTGGCTGCTTTTCCAAAAGAGCACGGATTTGTCCCAATAGACACCAAAAATACTATAGTCCTTTGTCTGGGGACCCCCTAAAAAGGTACCCCTAATTTTGCGAAACCCTAATCCCTATAATCCCCTATATAATCCCAGTTTCCATTTCATTTTCCATTTTCTTTTCCATTTGATTCACCATTATAGTGGGTACCTAATACCTATTTTGTGCTCAGGTGACAGAGCTGAGCATGGCGCGGACGCAGCTGAACGTCTTGGCGGCCTGCGCCTCCAAGTACTTAGGCCAGGGCTATCCATTGCTCGGCTGCCTTCTTGGGATATGTAGGGCTTAGGGTTCAGGGTTTAGGGTTTAGGGTTTTGGGATTAGGGCTTAGGGTTTAGGGTTCAGGGTTTAGGGTTTTGGGATTAGGGCTTAGGGTTTAGGGTTTGGTTAGATAAGCTATAGTCTAAACTCCTTCAAGGGCGATATACCAGGGGTTATTTAGGGGAGCATTATAGTATTGATTAAGGGGGATACTAGGAGTTTAGACTGTAGCTCATATCGAGGTATATAGGAGTAATTGAGGAGCAAATGGAAAAGAAAAAGAAATGACATGGACACTGCTCTATCGGGTTCAGGGAGCTATCTATTGCTTGGCCGCCCTTGTGGGATATGTCGGAATGCCATCGGAATACATAGGGGCAAGTAGGAATAATGGAGAAGCAAACGGAAAAGAACATGGAACATGGAATGGCAACTACTATGTTATTTAGGGTTAGTGCTAATACAGGGATATACGTTTCTTCATGTTGCTTCGCTAGCCTGCCTCTTAGGACCTGCAATGGAGAACCACATGAAATGAAACTTCTATTACTACCGCTACTACTACTGCTACTACTAGTACTTTTTTAGCCTGGCTCTGACAACTCTAATTTTTTGGGCTTCCTATAACTTACGGCAGGGAGGCCAAAAAGTTCAAGTTTTAGACGGGGGTCGTGCAGCCAGCTATCCCTGGGGTCGCCTGCTGGTGCTTGGCAGCAGGGAAGGAAGGGCGGATCCCCACACTGGCCAACATGTATAGACATATGCACTATAATCTAAACTCCTTAAAGGGGGTTATCTAGGGATTATGTAGGGGACTACTCTAGGGGTTATTAAGGGGGATACCACGTGTATATATATATATACACACACCAGATACATACATGCCTCACAAATGATGCGCCCAATACAAAGGAGTGCTGACGGTCATTTGCGGTAACTTCTGGATACTCCCTAAAAACAACCCTTATAGAATCCCTAATAGGGACGAATTCCTAACAGGGACCCCCCAAAATCCCCCTAAAATCCTTATGTGTCCCTAAAGTCCCTAAGGGCTCCCATCTTAAGAGCCCCTCCGGAGCCAGGTGTGGCAAAGGTGACCGCCTGCGCCGCCCATGGAGAAGCATACAAGCTGTCATGGTCCAAGTTCCGAGACTCCGGGGGCTTTGGGGGGGACCCTTAGTGGGGAGGTGCAGGAGCTATAAGGACAGTGTAAATGCTGTATAAGGTGATGCCCAAGCTTAAAACGGTTGTAGCTGGGAACAGATTGGCCTTGCGGCGACGAGTGGAGAAGTTGTGTGAGAAGATTTTTGGCCAGTAGAAGTAGTCTTCGTCGAGCGTCTCAGGTCTGGTTGTGATCCAGAGAAGTGCATTGCGCCTTCAACTTTCACGGGCTACGTGGTGAAGTCGGTGGACTTAAAGCGACCAACTTTCACCGCAGAGGTGGTCTGCGACAATGACAATGGTCACTGGGCAGCGTCGTGAATTTGTGTAGTTGCTTGGGTCTGGTGTTGATACTATGGAATGCATGGCACATGTCTCGGCTGCCATTTCTGCAGGCTTCTATGGCACCCCGACCGCGGAGATTTGCCCTTCCAACGGCCAAGAGTACACACTTTGGGGATGCGACACCACAACCTCGACCAGCACGACAACAACGACTACAACTACCACGACCACTACCACCACAGCTGCATGTCTGCAATGTTCTGTAGTGTGGCGATGCTTGGGTTGGTCTGTCCATAAAAAGGAAGGGTTCACATGCTAATGCAGTTTGGTCAGAAGGCTTCAGGAGGCGACATTCATGCGAGTGTTTGAGATTTCTTGTGCGGTTGCCGTAGACAATGATGGCGAATCCAGACCTGCCGAACTCAGACGACTACCACGACCACTTCAACTACCACAACCACGACGACCTCCACCACTACCACTACCACCACAACAACAACTACGTCAACCACGACATCTACCACAACAATGACAACCACTACTACAATCACCACGACCACAACCACCACCAGCACAACAACAACGACAACTTCGACAACCACAACCACAACGTCTACGACGACGACCACTACAACAACTTCGACAACCACAACCACGACTACCACGACCAGCACAACAACCACGACTACCACAACTTCCACCACCACCACGACCACCACCACTTCCACCACCACCTCAACAACCACTACTACAACAACCACCACGACAACAACCACGACCTCGACAACCACGACCACCAGCACCACAACAACGACTACCACAACCACCACTACCACGACAACTTCAACGACCACGACAACCTCGACAACAACTACAACCACAACAACCACAACAACAACTAGCACAACGACAACCACCACAACCACAAGCACCACAACGACCACTACCACCACCACCACAACCACCACCACCTCCACGACAACAACCACTACCTCCACGACCACAACCACCAGCACAACAACGACCACCACCACGACGACCACCACCACCACAAC